TATTCCTCGTATAATGTGTGGAATTGGGCTAGCTCTGCTTCTGCCAGAGCTGCGCCCCCAGGTGCTAGAGGCTATCCAATTCGTCGTGGGCTTGCCTCAGTAACGCTTAATGGAAATCCAGGTCCTTTGTAGGGGTGACGGTTGGGGCTTTCGAGCCTAATGTTAATGATGATTCTATTTCGTTGCATCTTCTCTGCAACTGTCTGATCACCGTGTCACTTGCAGAGTCTCCTTTGACTTGATCTCCTGTTGTGATCTTGATGTTGACCGAAGTTTGTCTGGGGCCTTCGGAAGCTCGCTTCCAGTCGACGTGTTGTCCAGAAAGATTTTCTGATATTTTTCGACCAGCCCCTTGAGTGCTACTAGTCGTGAAGAGTACTCACTTCCAGTAGGTAATGCCGCTTGCTGGACTTCTTAAACTAGGTCGCAAAACTGCTGCCAGAGATCATTTAACTGATTTGACGTACCGGAATAATAGCTGTTGTAGCTCTGTACTTGTAGCTCATTTTGGTTGTCTAGCAATCGATTGTGTAAATCGATTCTTGTGTGACTTGTGTCCTCTATGAACAAAGTTGTCATAATGTGTCTTGGAAACGAAGAATCCTGTGAAGCCGGATAAAGCTGTGTGTCCTGTGAGGCTGGATGAAGCTGTGAATCCTGTGATGCTGGATTAAGCTGACGATCCTGTGACGCTGGATGAAGAAGCGTATCCTGTGAAGCTGGATGAAGCTGAGTATCCTTTGAAGGTGGATGATGCTGTGAATCCTATGAAGCTGGATCAAGCTGGCGATCCTGTGAAGCTGGATAAAGCTGTGAATCCTGTGAAGCTGGATTAAACTGACGATCCTGTGTCGCTGGATAAGGCTGACGATCCTGTGAAGCTGGATGAAGCTGAGTATGCTGTTAAGCTGGATAAGGCTGACGACCCTGTGAAGCTGGATGAAGCTGAGTATCCTGTGAAGATAGATAAGGCTGACGATCCTGTGAAGCTGGATGAAGCTGAGTATCCTATGAAGCTGGTTAAGCTATGGTTTCCAGGGCGGGTGGATGTAGTAAACTTAACGGGTCTTCTCACCAGTCAGAGGTTCAGCTTTTGGTGTGAAGGTGGTTGCTGGAGTGTGATCGTTTTTTGGTAAGGGATCACGTCAGGGTCACCAATGTTTGTGCCTAACGGTTTAATTCCGGTAAAACCACGGTAGCAGAGTCTCGATACCATAGTTTTGAAACCCTTGCAATAAATTATGCGTTGCGCTATTTCAGAGTGTACCTAGAGCAAAGGACGTTTAAAATAATTACGGAATGCAATTCGTTAGTGCTAACTCTAAGTAGGAAAGCTATTAATCCTAGCATAGCTAGATGGTTCCTTGAGTTGGAGAATTACGATTATTCAATTATGCATAGACCCTGCGTTAATATAGCCAATGTAGATTCATTAAGTAGGCAAGTAGAAATAATTAAGTTGTTAAGAGATGGTGACTTTGGTGACGATAAGGGCTTGTTAGAAAGCATCGAGGATGTACCTCTTGAAAACCGTAGAGTCAGACCTTTAGAGAACCGTAGAGACAGCCCTGATGAAAGTAGTAGAGACCACGTTGTTGAAAGCCCTTTAGAAACCTGAAGAGATGTACCTGTAGACTGCAGGTTGTTAGATAACCCTTATTACGATCCTTTCAAGAGATTATCGATGTGATGAAAACCATTGTGAAGAAAAAGTAGAAGAGAATGGTAAAGTTCGTGGTGAGATAGCTAATAGGGATGTAATAGACGGTAGTAAAATGGCCTGGGGAGAAATGGAAAATTGAACTCTAGTGAGAATGGTTTCCTAAAATCAATACCGGTAGTTGGAGTTGTAGGCGCAACACCTGTTGACGTTGATCTGAATCTACAAACGAAGCAAATGAGAGATAAGGAAATAGTTCGATTCAGAGAAAAACTAGAGAGCGGGAACGTTCATAGCTTTGACTTGAGGGATGGACTGGTATATAGAAAAAATGGAGACGATTCTTATTGAAAGAATTTTCTTTCCTGTATTTTGCATTCGGTGCCGAGAACTATTCATGATGGAACCTTGCATAGTATCCTAAAACCTTGTATTCCATTTCATACACTCCATATAGACCATTTATGCCCCTTACCTATTATAATTGCGAAGAGAAGGCATCTTTTGGTTGTTATTGATGCTTTTACCAAGTTTGTTAAACTTTTTTCTGTCAATACAATTATTACTAGAGAAGCGAGAGATGCACTAAATAAATACTTTGGCAAAAGCGTGACATTGAGCATATAAAGTAGATAGGAGCGCTACAGACTAATGGCCAGGTAGAGCGAGAGAACCGGGTGTTAACGACAATAGTCAGTCCGATTGGTACAAAATACTTAACAAAGAAGAATATGCAATTAATAACGCAGTACATAGTAGCACCCAAGTAGCGCCTAAGGTCCTATTGTTCGGAGTAATACAGAAGGGTCCTGCTGTAGATGAGCTTTTTGAATACTTAGATGATAAATTTAATGATGATGCTAGAGATGTCGTAAATCTCCGTGAACATGCATCCGCTAGTACTGAAAATTCGCAGAAAAGAAATGAACAGTACTATAGTAAGAGACATATACTGTGTTTATGCAATGCCGAATTCACGCTTTCATTTCGCGTTTTCAGCCGATACGTATGAGATCGTTTTGGTCAGACGTCGAGATAATCGAGCTGCTTGGGCAGGTGAAGAAGAATAATATATTGAGCAAGCTCGATGGGAAGACGGGGCCTCGCAGAATCGATGAAGGCTAGAAATTTGATCAAATCCGGAGACCAAATCAAAACCAAGCTGCGAATGTTAAAGAAAACATATTTTCAAGTGAAACGCAGCAATGCAGTCAGTGGGGCTGCCAGGAAAACGTGCACCCACTTCGAGGAGCTCGAGGAGATGTATGGGACTCGCCCGGTGTCTCAGGCCGTAGGTGTGGACACATGGGGGGAGGGATTTGTGGCAATCGATGGCTTCGATGACCTGGCCAATGAAGTCTTCTACTGTTGATGCACCTGAACTCCTGGTAGAGATATCTATGCCTAGGAGCCGCCAAACTTCAAGTAAGCATAATAATTATCATAAACGGTAACACGATGGTAATTTTTAATGATTTCACTTTATTTTTAATGGAAACAAAACTAAAAGTGCAATTTTCTTTTATATTGAACTGCTTCGCAAAGGAAAGTTAGATACAATGTATTCCTTAATGTGTTCCCTAAGATCAGATGGATCTCATTCAGGAGATTCCAATACTTGGTTACAATGCCAGTCTGGTGGTTGCTGGTTACTTTCATATTCGTTGATTGGCGTAAACTTCTGCTTTCTTATTTCCACGAAGTTATGAAGTACATATCATGTTTATAATCAGTATCTACTCTTTTGGCCAGGCACCTCCAGCGTCCTATCAATCGACCAAAGGCATTCACCACTACAATTCTGCCCGAGCTAAGGTAGCAGTTGAACGACTCTTCCTGTTAGGTATCCAGTATATGGTTTTAGAAGCCACGGTAGCAATGGGTATGCAGGATCTCTTAGGATAATGAAGGGAATCTTTTTGTTGCCCACCAGTTTTACAAATTCCGAAATAATTCGGCTATGGTTCTTGAAAATTCCAGATTCTTTAAAGACCGTCGCGTCGTGGACACTTCCTGGCAATTTCATGCTGACGTCTCAAAACCTAAAAATAAATAATATTTGGAAAAAAAACCAATACCTAAATATGGTTTTACTTACAAGTAATTGTTGTCAACTACAGCTTGCATGACCATCGATGTCCATCCCTTGCGATTAACGAAATCCATGTAGCCAATCTTTGGGGCTTTAACAGGAATGTGTGTTCCTAAATAATTTTTACAAAGCGTTTATAATTTGTAATTAATATTCTAAAAGGCATTTTACCATCAATAGCTCCAATCACGTTAGGAATGTGACACATTTTTTGAAATGCACCTGCATTTTGAATGCAATTCATCCAGTTTTGGGAATGAAATTAATACACTCGTAAGTTTCACCATTGCTTTAACAACAATATGAAAGTACTTGTACACAGTACTTTTATGTACTCAAAATACATCCCCAATCACTCGATACTCGGCACAGGTCGCCAGTTTGTATACGCAAATCGCAACTTGTTTCTCCAGAGGAACTGGAACGGTTAAAAACATGCTCTGCACCGGACGTAGCAATTCGCACAGTTCGAAAAATGAACTCTTTGACATCCTTAAGTTCTCAAAAAACAAATTTTTCATTTTTAGGCTCTTGCATAAGTGACCAAAATTCATTGCTTTTTGACCTGCTCCTGAATCTTCGCACTCTAGGTGTCCTCAGGCTGAGAGTCGCGGTTGCAGACGGGTACACCTGCATCAGCATCCTGTGACTCCTAGCCACCAAAATCCGCCCCACTTTTAATAAAGCCATCGATCTTCTGTGCCTCCACACAGCGACTTTGGAAATTAATTTTCCGGTTCTTATTGCAAATGAAGAATTTAACGTTATCCATCGCGTTGTTTGGTTTGTTTACTTTTTGCGAAAGTGTGACCAGACTAAAATACCTAATTTTTTACGTCTGGCATCTCTACTGAAATCAAATCATGAATTGATATGTGTAGCATAAACAGGGATTGTTTTTATATCGCGCTTTCAAGAAATCGCGATTCCCATAGCATAAACGTAGTAATAGAGCTCCTCGTGAATATAAAATAGGTGATTATGTGGCTATTCGTAATGTCGATACTACAGCAGATGTAAACAAGAAGTTTGCCCCAAAATATCGTGGGCCATATATGAGAAGCCGTGTTTTTGATAATGATCGATATGAAGTTGTTGATATTGATGATTGTCAATTAACTCAATTGCCATTTAAAAGCATGTTGGATCTGTAGTCATGTTGGCCGAATGTAAATAGTGAAAATATCTTATTTTAATAGACGTAACGTAAATATCGATAACAAGCGTTGAATAATTCGATGAAGCACGAGAGGGAAAGTGCGATCACTAAGAAGAGGACGAGGATATTGACAAGACACGAGAACCGGGAATAAGTTAACATAAAGTGAAATTAAAAGCTTTACATATCGGGTGCGGAGTTGAAAGGCCGTAAAAGCGGTAACAACTCGGCTATGAGATACAAGGACATAATAAAGAGTTCGAAATCTGAGTTTAAAGCTATCCAAGACCGAAACAGCGTGTTAGCTGTGAAGGCCATTATGGACCGTCTGGAATCAGCAAAACTGGAGGGGCTGAACCAGGGGGAATCGGGGCTGAGTGAAATCTCGCCTGGGGAGCCAACATTTTCGAGCCCGGGAGATGACGCTTGTGTTGGTAGTGAAAACAAACATGAGCAATAAAGGGACGACCATAGTATACCGGCAAAAGGCGACAAAGTAGTGGCGTCTGAAGAATATCTGGAAGTTTCTGGCGTGGCGGCTGCGGTCGTGCAGCGGCGTGATCAAGTGGTGGCGTCTGAAGAATTTTTGAAAGCTTCTGGCATGGCGGCTGCGGACGTGCAGCGGCGTGATCAAGTGGCGGAAAACGTTGAGGCAGAAATCCAACATTTGCAACAAATCGAGAAGCTGTATGTTGCGCGTAAATGGGTGGCTGACTTAGAAAATTCATTGAGCCAAAATGAATCCGCTCGAGGATATGGCATCGACATGAATGATTTGGGTGCGTTAATTCAACCTTTTTCGGGAGACAGCGGATACCCTGTGATGCGTTGGATTGATGACATTGTTAATATCATGGATACATACAGTGTATCGGAGAAACAATGATTTATTTTCGCCATACCTTTGCTTAGGAGATCTGCGAGGTCGTTCATGATTGAGACGGCAGCCCTAACTTGGCCAGCACTGCGAACCGAATAGATAGCTGTATTCGACCTCAAGGTTAAGGTTAAAAACTGGTTAGAGAAATTATCATCCGATTCATCATGGAAGGCTTGGAAGAAAATTCGGGAGCCGCGTTTGCAATGGCTAACTGTAGTTCTTTGGACGACTTGCGGAAGAAATTATGATCTACGATAAATCAAAGTAGACGCTTGGAAAGATTTCAAAGTTGGAGAAGCAAACTAAACGGAAGTCCAATTTCCAGTCGACCCGAAGGCAGGATCCTGAAGCATCTCGCTGCTACAACTGTCGGCAAATGGGACATTTTGATAGATTGTAGACAACCCAAAATGCCGGAAGGGGTCTGCTTTAACTGCTACAGCACAAAGTATCAGTAACGCCCCAAGCGGAAGACGAAAACTATGGTGGCAGCCGTGCAGGAGAACGCGGGATCTGGTTCGTAGGAGTTGGCAGCAATTCAAGCAATTGAATTATGACGATTGCGAGGTGAAAAGGAAAAATACATACGCATTGCCAGCAAAGCGTCACAGACTTGGGCGTTTTGTGGGTGTTAAATCGATGGCTTCGATGACCTGGCCAATGAAGTCTTCTACTGTTGATGCACCTGAACTCCTGGTAGAGACATCTATGCCTAGGAGCCGCCAAACTTCAAGTAAGCATATTAATTATCATTAACGGTAACACGATGGTAATTTTTAATGATTTCACTTCATTTTTAAATAAGGCAATCGTCGTGCAGATGGTTCAGAAGATGTCAGACGACAACAAGGAGGCGTTGGACATGCTGGAAGTGCAGAACCAGAAGTTCCTTGAGGCTCAACGGGAAATCGACGCCACCTTTGTGCAGAGCATGCGCGATGTTCTTGAGGAGGATCGGGCCGAGACCCAAAGATTCATGCGAGTGTTCTTGAACTCCAATTAAAGCTTAAATATTTCGAAACAAAACTAAAAGTGCAATTTTTTTTTATATTGAACTGCTTCGGAAAGGAAAGTTAGATACAATGTATTCCTTAATGTGTTCCCCAAGATCAGATGGATCTCATTTAGGAGATTCCAATACTTGGTTACAATGCCAGTCTGGTGGTTGCTGGTTACTTTCATATTCGTTGATTGGCGTAAACTTCTGCTTTCTTATTTCCACGAAGTTATGGTTATAATCAGTATCTACTCTTTTGGCCAGGCACCTCCAGCGTCCTATCAATCGACCAAAGGCATTCACCACTACAATTCTGCCCGAGCTAAGGTAGCAGTTGAACGACTCTTCCTGTTAGGTATCCAGTATATGGTTTTAGAAGCCACGGTAGCAATGGGTATGCAGGATCTCTTAGGATAATGAAGGGAATCAGTTTGTTGCCCACCAGTTTTACAAGTTCCGAAATAATTCGGCTATGGTTCTTGAAAATTCCACATTCTAAATAAATATGTTTTTACTTACAAGTAATTGTTGTCAACTACAGCTTGCATGACCATCGATGTCCATCCCTTGCGATTAACGAAATCCATGTAGCCAATCTTTGGGGCTTTAACAGGAATGTGTGTTCCTAAATAATTTTTACATAGCGTTTATAATTTGTAATTAATATTCTAAAAGGCATTTTACCGTCAATAGCTCCAATCACGTTAGGAATGTGACACATTTTTTGAAATGCACCTGCATTTTATGCATTATCCAGTTTTGGGAATATATGATGGACGTTGATGCACTACGAGCAGTACAAACAAGTGGCCCAACGACACCAAGCACGTGCTTGTTACGCGCGGGGCCCTTTTATCAATTTGGGCAAAAAATACGAGTTCGCTAGGAAGATACAAAAAACAAATAGAGACGGGACACAAATGAAAATAAAAGAAGCATCTAAGAATGAAGCAAATGAGTTAAAATATTCGTTTTTAATACCGGGATAGAAGTTGAAGTGCAAATTAAATGATAAAGGTTGTTATAATTATTACATAGAACGCGAAAGGGCTCGTGCAGACAAAAATTAGATGTACATCGTGTCAAATTTAGGGGATAATAATTTCGTGTTAGTCTAACAGGAACATTGAAAGTTAGGCGGTTTACAAGTTCTACAGAATCAATATCACCTCTTATAAGATTTTGCATAAAAATAGTACCAAGCATTGTTCTACGATTTGCAAGGGTAGGTAAATTAAGCAATAGTAATCTACTCTGATAGGAAGGTAGCCTTATGTTTTGATCCCAGTTCAAACTACGATGGGCAAAAAGAAGAAATTTTTTTTGTACCGACTCAATACGGTCAATATGCACTTGATATTGTGGACTCCAAACCGAGGAACAATATTCCAAAATAGGACGGACAAGGGAGGTAAATAATAATTTGGTTGTATAAGGGTCATCAAATTCTTTTGACCAACGCTTTATAAACCCAAGAACACTCATGGCCTTGCTGACAGTGGACATTATGTGGCAGTCAAATTTAAGTTTTGGGTCCAGAAGAACGCCTAAGTTATTTACTGAATATATACGGTCGAGTGGCGTATTTTGAAGAGAGTAACTAACAAAAGTAGGAGTACCCCTATGAAAAGTCATAACGTTGCATTTAAGGCAGTTCAAATTTAAAAGGTTATACTCACACCATCCCTGAAAACAATCAATATCTGACTGTAAGTTGAAACCCGACGCTATATCATTATGTGATAAACAAAGCTTAACATCATCAGCATACATTAGTACACGAGAGTGTGTTATGATAGAGGGAAGATCGTTAATAAACAAAGTAAACAGCAAAGGGCCCAAATGACTACCCTGAGGCACTCCAGATGTCACATAGATCAGTTTTGAGGCAGCGTTCTTGAATATAACCCTCTGAGTCCTACCATTCAAATAACTTGAAATCCAAGTTAATAGATTGCATGGAAACCCAAGCAGATTTAATTTAAATAAGAGAAGAGAGTGGTTGACAGAGTCAAAGGCCTTACTAAAATCTGTGTATATAACGTCAGTCTGCGGTCTATTCTTAAATCCATTTATTACAATAGATGACAATTCCAGAAGGTTGGTGGTGGTCGATCTTCGCTTAACAAAACCATGCTGACACGGTGATATTAGCGAGGAACATAAATGTTGCAAATGAGAAGTAATAATACGTTCAAATGCTTTATGAATTGCCGACAATTCAGAAATACCTCTGTAATTCTGGGCATCCGCCTTCGCACCCTTTTTGTGAAGTGGAATGATAAAAGAGTCCTTCCAGATAGTAGGAAAAACTGACGATGAAATAGACAAATTAAAAAGTTTAAGAATCGGTTTACATATGGTTGACGCACAAAACTTAAGCACACACCCGGGGAGTCCATCAGGACCGGGAGAATAAGTTGGCGTTGTTTTTTCTAAGTCTCTTACGAGAGAAATTTCCGTAATTTCAGGGGTAAAGATACAATTTGCCTTATTTAAGGGATTAGGGTAGTTAGAATTTGACCAAGCAGCCGAACTATAAGTAGTTTGGAAAAACTCGGCAAATAAATCAGCAATTTCAGAATCCGTCGATGCCTCCATTGAGTTAAAACGTACCGATGAAGGCAATGCTGACGACTTACGCTTGGCATTGACAAAGTTATAAAACTGCTTCGGATCATTTGAAAATTCAAATTTACATCTACTTAAATACATAGAATGGCAATGACTATTGAGAACATTAAAATCCGATCGAGCCACCACATATTTCGAAAAATCAGATGGCTTACCCGATTTCTTATACTTTTATAAGTGTTTGTCTTAAGGTTTTTAAGTCTTTGAAGCGCAATAGTAAACCAAGGTGGCCTGTTTGACTTTGAAGGAAACCTATGAGGAACGCATTCATTATTATGAAATGAAATTAATACACTCGTAAGTTTCACCATTGCTTTAACAACAATATGAAAGTTCTTGTACACAGTACTTTTATGTACTCAAAATACATCCCCAATCACTCGATACTCGGCACAGGTCGCCAGTTTGTATACGCAAATCGCAACTTGTTTCTCCAGAGGAACTGGAACGGTTAAAAACATGCTCTGCACCGGACGTAGCAATTCGCACAGTTCGAAAAATGAACTCTTTGACATCCTTAAGTTCTCAAAAAACAAATTTTTCATTTTTAGGCTCTTGCATAAGTGACCAAAATTCATTGCTTTTTGACCTGCTCCTGAATCTTCGCACTCTAGGTGTCCTCAGGCTGAGAGTCGCGGTTGCAGACGGGTACACCTGCATCAGCATCCTGTGACTCCTAGCCACCAAAATCCGCCCCACTTTTAATAAAGCCATCGATCTTCTGTGCCTCCACACAGCGACTTTGGAAATTAATTTTCCGGTTCTTATTGCAAATGAAGAATTTAACGTTATCCATCGCGTTGTTTGGTTTGTTTACTTTTTGCGAAAGTGTGACCAGACTAAAATACCTAATTTTTTACGTCTGGCATCTCTACTGAAATCAAATCATGAATTGATATGTGTAGCATAAACAGGGATTGTTTTTATATCGCGCTTTAAAGAAATCGCGATTCCCATAGCATAAACATAGTAATAGAGCTCCTCGTGAATATAAAATAGGTGATTATGTGGCTATTCGTAATGTCGATACTACAGCAGATGTAAACAAGAAGTTTGCCCCAAAATATCGTGGGCCATATATGAGAAGCCGTGTTTTTGATAATGATCGATATGAAGTTGTTGATATTGATGATTGTCAATTAACTCAATTGCCATTTAAAAGCATGTTGGATCTGTAGTCATGTTGGCCGAATGTTAATAGTGAAAATATCTTATTAAGAGAATGCCCCATGTAAATATCGATAACAAGCGTTGAATAATTCGATGAAGCACGAGAGGGATAGTGCGATCACTAAGAAGAGGACGAGGATATTGACAAGACACGAGAACCGGGAATAAGTTAACATAAAGTGAAATTAAAAGCTTTACATATCGGGTGCGGAGTTGAAAGGCCGTAAAAGCGGTAACAACTCGGCTATGAGATACAAGGACATAATAAAGAGTTCGAAATCTGAGTTTAAAGCTATCCTAGAGCGAAACAGCGTGTTAGCTGTGAAGGCCATTATGGACCGTCTGGAATCAACAAAACTGGAGTGGTTGATCCAGGGGGAATCGGGGCTGAGTGAAATCCCGCCTGGGGAGTCAACATTTTCGAGCCCGGGAGATGACGCTTGTGTTGGTAGTGAAACAAACATGAGCAAGAAAGGGACGACCATAGTATACCGGCAAAAAGCGACAAAGTAGTGGCGTCTGAAGAATATCTGCGGCGTGATCAAGTGGTGGTGTCTGAAGAATTTTTGGAAGCTTCTGGCATGGCGGCTGCGGACGTGCAGCGGCGTGATCAAGTGGCGGAAAACGTTGAGGCAGAAATCCAACATTTGCAACAAATCGAGAAGCTGTATGTTGCGCGTAAATGGGTGGCTGACTTAGAAAATTCATTGAGCCAAAATGAATCCGCTCGAGGATATGGCATCGACATGAATGATTTGGGTGCGTTAATTCAACCTTTTTCGGGAGACAGCGGATACCCTGTGATGCGTTGGATTGATGACATTGTTAATATCATGGATACATACAGTGTATCGGAGAAACAATGATTTATTTTCGCCATACCTTTGCTTAGGAGATCTGCGAGGTCGTTCATGATTGAGACGGCAGCCCTAACTTGGCCAGCACTGCGAACCGAATAGATAGCTGTATTCGACCTCAAGGTTAAGGTTAAAAACTGGTTAGAGAAATTATCATCCGATTCATCATGGAAGGCTTGGAAGAAAATTCGGGAGCCGCGTTTGCAATGGCTAAATGGATAAATCAATGTAGACGCTTGGAAAGATTTCAAAGTTGGAGAAGCAAACTAAACGGAAGTCCAATTTCCAGTCGACCAGAAGGCAGGATCCTGAAGCCTCTCGCTGCTACAGCTGTCGGCAAATGGGACATTTTGATAGATTGTAGACAACCCAAAATGCCGGAAGGGGTCTGCTTTAACTGCTACAGCACAAAGTATCAGTAACGCCCCAAGCGGAAGACGAAAACTATGGTGGCTGCCGTGCAGGAGAACGCGGGATCTGGTTCGTAGGAGTTGGCAGCAATTCAAGCAATTGAATTATGACGATTGCGATTGCGAGGTGAAAAGGGAAAATACATACGCATTGCCAGCACAGTGAAGTGCTTTGATCATTTTTGTTCAACGACGTACTAGATCTTGTTAAAAATAGTCGATGATAATATTCTGCCATTACCTGTGTTATTAGATAGAGACTCGCTAAAGATAATCGAAGTTCAATTAGTTCATAAAAAAACAAGGATGAATGATTTCACTTCATTTTTAAATAAGATGAAGATGTCAAACGACAACAAGGAGGCGTTGGACATGCTGGAGGTGCAGAACAAGGAGTTCCTTGAGGCTCAACGGGAAATCGACGCCACCTTTGTGCACAGCATGCGCGATGTTCTTGCGGAGGATCGGGCCGAGACCCAAAGATTCATGCGAGTGTTCTTCAACTCCAATTAAAGCTGAAATGTTTCGAAACAAAACTAAAAGTGCAATTTTCTTTTATATTGAACTGCTTCGCAAAGGAAAGTTAGATGCAATGTATTCCTTAATGTGTTCCCTAAGATCAGATGGATCTCATTCAGGAGATTCCAATACTTGGTTACAATGCCAGTCTGGTGGTTGCTGGTTACTTTCATATTCGTTGATTGGCGTAAACTTCTGCTTTCTTATTTCCACGAAGTTATGAAGTACATATCATGTTTATAATCGGTATCTACTCTTTTGGCCAGGCACCTCCAGCGTCCTATCAATCGACCAAAGGCATTCACCACTACAATTCTGCCCGAGCTAAGGTAGCAGTTGAACGACTCTTCCTGTTAGGTATCCAGTATATGGTTTTAGAAGCCACGGTAGCAATGGGTATGCAGGATCTCTTAGGATAATGAAGGGAATCTTTTTGTTGCCCATCAGTTTTACAAATTCCGAAATGATTCGGCTATGGTTCTTGAAAATTCCAGATTCTTTAAAGACCGTCGCGTCGTGGACACTTCCTGGCAATTTCATGCTGACGTCTCTAAACCTAAAAATAAATAATATTTGGAAAAAAAACCAATACCTAAATATGGTTTTACTTACAAGTAATTGTTGTCAACTACAGCTTTCATGACCATCGATTCCCATCCCTTGCGATTAACGAAATCCATGTAGCCAATCTTTGGGGCTTTAACAGGAATGTGTGTTCCTAAATAATTTTTACAAAGCGTTTATAATTTGTAATTAATATTCTAAAAGGCATTTTACCATCAATAGCTCCAATCACGTTAGGAATGTGACACATTTTTTGAAATGCACCTGCATTTTGAATGCATTCATCCAGTTTTGGGAATGAAATTAATACACTCGTAAGTTTCACCATTGCTTTAACAACAATATGAAAGTACTTGTACACAGTACTTTTATGTACTCAAAATACATCCCCAATCACTCGATACTCGGCACAGGTCGCCAGTTTGTATACGCAAATCGCAACTTGTTTCTCCAGAGGAACTGGAACGGTTAAAAACATGCTCTGCCCCGGACGTAGCAATTCGCACAGTTCGAAAAATGAACTCTTTGACATCCTTAAGTTCTCAAAAAACAAATTTTTCATTTTTAGGCTCTTGCATAAGTGACCAAAATTCATTGCTTCTTGGCCTGCTCCTGAATCTTCGCACTCTAGGTGTCCTCAGGCTGAGAGTCGCGGTTGCAGACGGGTACACCTGCATCAGCATCCTGTGACTCCTAGCCACCAAAAACCGCCTCACTTTTAATAAAGCCATCGATCTTCTGTGCCTCCACACAGCGACTTTGGAAATTAATTTTCCGGTTCTTATTGCAAATGAAGAATTTAACGTTATCCATCGCGTTGTTTGGTTTGTTTACTTTTTGCGAAAGTGTGACCAGACTAAAATACCTAATTTTTTACGTCTGGCATCTCTACTGAAATCAAATCATGAATTGATATGTGTAGCATAAACAGGGATTGTTTTTATATCGCGCTTTAAAGAAATCGCGATTCCCATAGCATAAACATAGTAATAGAGCTCCTCGTGAATATAAAATAGGTGATTATGTGGCTATTCGTAATGTCGATACTACAGCAGATGTAAACAAGAAGTTTGCCCCAAAATATCGTGGGCCATATATGAAAGCCGTGTTTTTGATAATGATTGATATGAAGTTGTTGATATTGATGATTGTCAATTAACTCAATTGCCATTTAAAAGCATGTTGGATCTGTAGTCATGTTGGCCGAATGTAAATAGTGAAAATATCTTATTTTAATAGACGTAACGTAAATATCGATAACAAGCGTTGAATAATTCGATGAAGCACGAGAGGGAAAGTGCGATCACTAAGAAGAGGACGAGGATATTGACAAGACACGAGAACCGGGAATAAGTTAACATAAAGTGAAATTAAAAGCTTTACATATCGGGTGCGGAGTTGAAAGGCCGTAAAAGCTGTAATAACTCGGCTATGAGATACAAGGACATAATAAAGAGTTCGAAATCTGAGTTTAAAGCTATCCAAGACCGAAACAGCGTGTTAGCTGTGAAGGCCATTATGGACCGTCTGGAATCAGCAAAACTGGAGGGGCTGAACCAGGGGGAATCGGGGCTGAGTGAAATCTCGCCTGGGGAGCCAACATTTTCGAGCCCGGGAGATGACGCTTGTGTTGGTAGTGAAAACAAACATGAGCAAGAAAGGGACGACCATAGTATACCGGCAAAAGGCGACAAAGTAGTGGCGTCTGAAGAATATCTGGAAGTTTCTGGCGTGGCGGCTGCGGTCGTGCAGCGGCGTGATCAACTGGTGGCGTCTGAAGAATTTTTGGAAGCTTCTGGCATGGCGGCTGCGGACGTGCAGCGGCGTGATCAAGTGGCGGAAAACGATGAGGCAGAAATCCAACATTTGCAACAAATCGAGAAGCTGTATGTTGCGCGTAAATGGGTGGCTGACTTAGAAAATTCGTTGAGCCAAAATGAACCCGCTCGAGGACATGGCATCGACATGAATGATTTGGGTGCGTTAATTACAGTGTATCGGAGAAACAATGATTTATTTTCGCCATACGTTTGCTTAGGATATCTACGAGGTCGTTCATGATTGAGACGGCAGCCCTAACTTGGCCAGCACTGCGAACCGAATTGATAGCTGTATTCGACCTCAAGGTTAAGGTTTAAAACTGGTTAGAGAAATTATCATCCGATTCATCATGGAAGGCTTGGAAGAAAATTCGGGAGCCGCGTTTGCAATGGCTAACTGTAGTTCTTTGGACGACTTGCGGAAGAAATTATGATCTACGATAAATCAAAGTAGACGCTTGGAAAGATTTCAAAGTTGGAGAAGCAAACTAAACGGAAGTCCAATTTCCAGTCGACCAGAAGGCAGGATTCTGAAGCCTCTCGCTGCTACAACTGTCGGCAAATGGGACATTTTGATAGATTGTAGACAACCCAAAATGCCGGAAGGGGTCTGCTTTAACTGCTACAGCACAAAGCATCAGTAACGCCCCAAGCGGAAGACGAAAACTATGGTGGCAGCCGTGCAGGAGAACGCGGGATCTGGTTCGTAGGAGTTGGCAGCAATTCAAGCAATTGAATTATGACGACTGCGAGGTGAAAAGGGAAAATACATACGCATTGCCAGCACAGTGAAGTGCTTTGATCATTTTTGTTCAACAACGTACTAGATCTTGTTAAAAATAGTCGATGATAATATTCTGCCATTACCTGTGTTATTAGATAGAGACTCGCTAAAGATAATCGAAGTTCAATTAGTTCATAAAAAAACAAGGAAGAACGCTAAAGTCGAGTATCTCGACTATCAGATACCCGTTACTCAGCTAAAGGGACCAAAGGGAAATGGAGATATGCAAGCAGCAAAGCGAGATTAAAATACGCCACCCACCGGCGGTAGACAGATTTAAGCGTTATGGGCGTTAGAGTTGGCGTGGATCAATCTATAGGTATTGACGAGACCAATACATTTCAGTTAAAATTTTTTATCTAGCATGAAAATAGTAAGCGTCACAGGCTTGGGCGGTTTGTGGGTGTTAAATCGATGGCTTCGATGACCTGGCCAATGAAGTCTTCTACTGTTGATGCACCTGAACTCCTGGTAGAGACATCTATGCCTAGGAGCCGCCAAACTTCAAGTAAGCATATTAATTATCATTAACGGTAACACGATGGTAATTTTTAATGATTTCACTTCATTTTTAAATAAGGCAATCGTCGTGCAGATGGTTCAGAAGATGTCAAACGACAACAAGGAGGCGTTGGACATGCTGGAGGTGCAGAACCAGGAGTTCCTTGAGGCTCAACGGGAAATCGACGCCACCTTTGTGCAGAGCATGCGCGATGTTCTTGCGGAGGATCGGGCCGAGACCCAAAGATTCATGCGAGTGTTCTTCAACTCCAATTAAAGCTGAAATGTTTCGAAACAAAACTAAAAGTGCAATTTTCTTTTATATTGAACTGCTTCGCAAAGGAAAGTTAGATACAATGTATTCCTTAATGTGTTCCCTAAGATCAGATGGATCTCATTCAGGAGATTCCAATACTTTGCTGGTTACTTTCATATTCGTTGATTGGCGTAAACTTCTGCTTTCTTATTTCCACGAAGTTATGAAGTACATATCATGTTTATAATCGGTATCTACTCTTTTGGCCAGGCACCTCCAGCGTCCTATCAATCGACCAAAGGCATTCACCACTACAATTCTGCCCGAGCTAAGGTAGCAGTTGAACGACTCTTCCTGTTAGGTATCCAGTATATGGTTTTAGAAGCCACGGTAGCAATGGGTATGCAGGATCTCTTAGGATAATGAAGGGAATCTTTTTGTTGCCCATCAGTTTTACAAATTCCGAAATGATTCGGCTATGGTTCTTGAAAATTCCAGATTCTTTAAAGACCGTCGCGTCGTGGACACTTCCTGGCAATTTCATGCTGACGTCTCTAAACCTAAAAATAAATAATATTTGGAAAAAAAACCAATACCTAAATATGGTTTTACTTACAAGTAATTGTTGTCAACTACAGCTTTCATGACCATCGATTCCCATCCCTTGCGATTAACGAAATCCATGTAGCCAATCTTTGGGGCTTTAACAGGAATGTGTGTTCCTAAATAATTTTTACAAAGCGTTTATAATTTGTAATTAATATTCTAAAAGGCATTTTACCATCAATAGCTCCAATCACGTTAGGAATGTGACACATTTTTTGAAATGCACCTGCATTTTGAATGCATTCATCCAGTTTTGGGAATGAAATTAATACACTCGTAAGTTTCACCATTGCTTTAACAACAATATGAAAGTACTTGTACACAGTACTTTTATGTACTCAAAATACATCCCCAATCACTCGATACTCGGCACAGGTCGCCAGTTTGTATACGCAAATCGCAACTTGTTTCTCCAGAGGAACTGGAACGGTTAAAAACATGCTCTGCCCCGGACGTAGCAATTCGCACAGTTCGAAAAATGAACTCTTTGACATCCTTAAGTTCTCAAAAAACAAATTTTTCATTTTTAGGCTCTTGCATAAGTGACCAAAATTCATTGCTTCTTGGCCTGCTCCTGAATCTTCGCACTCTAGGTGTCCTCAGGCTGAGAGTCGCGGTTGCAGACGGGTACACCTGCATCAGCATCCTGTGACTCCTAGCCACCAAAAACCGCCTCACTTTTAATAAAGCCATCGATCTTCTGTGCCTCCACACAGCGACTTTGGAAATTAATTTTCCGGTTCTTATTGCAAATGAAGAATTTAACGTTATCCATCGCGTTGTTTGGTTTGTTTACTTTTTGCGAAAGTGTGACCAGACTAAAATACCTAATTTTTTACGTCTGGCATCTCTACTGAAATCAAATCATGAATTGATATGTGTAGCATAAACAGGGATTGTTTTTATATCGCGCTTTAAAGAAATCGCGATTCCCATAGCATAAACATAGTAATAGAGCTCCTCGTGAATATAAAATAGGTGATTATGTGGCTATTCGTAATGTCGATACTACAGCAGATGTAAACAAGAAGTTTGCCCCAAAATATCGTGGGCCATATATGAGAAGCCGTGTTTTTGATAATGATCGATATGAAGTTGTTGATATTGATGATTGTCAATTAACTCAATTGCCATTTAAAAGCATGTTGGATCTGTAGTCATGTTGGCCGAATGTTAATAGTGAAAATATCTTATTAAGAGAATGCCCCATGTAAATATCGATAACAAGCGTTGAATAATTCGATGAAGCACGAGAGGGATAGTGCGATCACTAAGAAGAGGACGAGGATATTGACAAGACACGAGAACCGGGAATAAGTTAACATAAAGTGAAATTAAAAGCTTTACATATCGGGTGCGGAGTTGAAAGGCCGTAAAAGCGGTAACAACTCGGCTATGAGATACAAGGACATAATAAAGAGTTCGAAATCTGAGTTTAAAGCTATCCTAGAGCGAAACAGCGTGTTAGCTGTGAAGGCCATTATGGACCGTCTGGAATCAACAAAACTGGAGTGGTTGATCCAGGGGGAATCGGGGCTGAGTGAAATCCCGCCTGGGGAGTCAACATTTTCGAGCCCGGGAGATGACGCTTGTGTTGGTAGTGAAAACAAACATGAGCAAGAAAGGGACGACCATAGTATACCGGCAAAAAGCGACAAAGTAGTGGCGTCTGAAGAATATCTGCGGCGTGATCAAGTGGTGGTGTCTGAAGAATTTTTGGAAGCTTCTGGCATGGCGGCTGCGGACGTGCAGCGGCGTGATCAAGTGGCGGAAAACGTTGAGGCAGAAATCCAACATTTGCAACAAATCGAGAAGCTGTATGTTGCGCGTAAATGGGTGGCTGACTTAGAAAATTCATTGAGCCAAAATGAATCCGCTCGAGGATATGGCATCGACATGAATGATTTGGGTGCGTTAATTCAACCTTTTTCGGGAGACAGCGGATACCCTGTGATGCGTTGGATTGATGACATTGTTAATATCATGGATACATACAGTTTATCGGAGAAACAATGATTTATTTTCGCCATACCTTTGCTTAGGAGATCTGCGAGGTCGTTCATGATTGAGACGGCAGCCCTAACTTGGCCAGCACTGCGAACCGAATAGATAGCTGTATTCGACCTCAAGGTTAAGGTTAAAAACTGGTTAGAGAAATTATCATCCGATTCATCATGGAAGGCTTGGAAGAAAATTCGGGAGCCGCGTTTGCAATGGCTAAATGGATAAATCAATGTAGACGCTTGGAAAGATTTCAAAGTTGGAGAAGCAAACTAAACGGAAGTCCAATTTCCAGTCGACCAGAAGGCAGGATCCTGAAGCCTCTCGCTGCTACAGCTGTCGGCAAATGGGACATTTTGATAGATTGTAGACAACCCAAAATGCCGGAAGGGGTCTGCTTTAACTGCTACAGCACAAAGTATCAGTAACGCCCCAAGCGGAAGACGAAAACTATGGTGGCTGCCGTGCAGGAGAACGCGGGATCTGGTTCGTAGGAGTTGGCAGCAATTCAAGCAATTGAATTATGACGATTGCGATTGCGAGGTGAAAAGGGAAAATACATACGCATTGCCAGCACAGTGAAGTGCTTTGATCATTTTTGTTCAACGACGTACTAGATCTTGTTAAAAATAGTCGATGATAATATTCTGCCATTACCTGTGTTATTAGATAGAGACTCGCTAAAGATAATCGAAGTTCAATTAGTTCATAAAAAAACAAGGATGAATGATTTCACTTCATTTTTAAATAAGGAAATCGTCGTGCAGATGGTTCAGAAGATGTCAAACGACAACAAGGAGGCGTTGGACATGCTGGAGGTGCAGAACAAGGAGTTCCTTGAGGCTCAACGGGAAATCGACGCCACCTTTGTGCACAGCATGCGCGATGTTCTTGCGGAGGATCGGGCCGAGACCCAAAGATTCATGCGAGTGTTCTTCAACTCCAATTAAAGCTGAAATGTTTCGAAACAAAACTAAAAGTGCAATTTTCTTTTATATTGAACTGCTTCGCAAAGGAAAGTTAGATGCAATGTATTCCTTAATGTGTTCCCTAAGATCAGATGGATCTCATTCAGGAGATTCCAATACTTGGTTACAATGCCAGTCTGGTGGTTGCTGGTTACTTTCATATTCGTTGATTGGCGTAAACTTCTGCTTTCTTATTTCCACGAAGTTATGAAGTACATATCATGTTTATAATCGGTATCTACTCTTTTGGCCAGGCACCTCCAGCGTCCTATCAATCGACCAAAGGCATTCACCACTACAATTCTGCCCGAGCTAAGGTAGCAGTTGAACGACTCTTCCTGTTAGGTATCCAGTATATGGTTTTAGAAGCCACGGTAGCAATGGGTATGCAGGATCTCTTAGGATAATGAAGGGAATCTTTTTGTTGCCCATCAGTTTTACAAATTCCGAAATGATTCGGCTATGGTTCTTGAAAATTCCAGATTCTTTAAAGACCGTCGCGTCGTGGACACTTCCTGGCAATTTCATGCTGACGTCTCTAAACCTAAAAATAAATAATATTTGGAAAAAAAACCAATACCTAAATATGGTTTTACTTACAAGTAATTGTTGTCAACTACAGCTTTCATGACCATCGATTCCCATCCCTTGCGATTAACGAAATCCATGTAGCCAATCTTTGGGGCTTTAACAGGAATGTGTGTTCCTAAATAATTTTTACAAAGCGTTTATAATTTGTAATTAATATTCTAAAAGGCATTTTACCATCAATAGCTCCAATCACGTTAGGAATGTGACACATTTTTTGAAATGCACCTGCATTTTGAATGCATTCATCCAGTTTTGGGAATGAAATTAATACACTCGTAAGTTTCACCATTGCTTTAACAACAATATGAAAGTACTTGTACACAGTACTTTTATGTACTCAAAATACATCCCCAATCACTCGATACTCGGCACAGGTCGCCAGTTTGTATACGCAAATCGCAACTTGTTTCTCCAGAGGAACTGGAACGGTTAAAAACATGCTCTGCCCCGGACGTAGCAATTCGCACAGTTCGAAAAATGAACTCTTTGACATCCTTAAGTTCTCAAAAAACAAATTTTTCATTTTTAGGCTCTTGCATAAGTGACCAAAATTCATTGCTTCTTGGCCTGCTCCTGAATCTTCGCACTCTAGGTGTCCTCAGGCTGAGAGTCGCGGTTGCAGACGGGTACACCTGCATCAGCATCCTGTGACTCCTAGCCACCAAAAACCGCCTCACTTTTAATAAAGCCATCGATCTTCTGTGCCTCCACACAGCGACTTTGGAAATTAATTTTCCGGTTCTTATTGCAAATGAAGAATTTAACGTTATCCATCGCGTTGTTTGGTTTGTTTACTTTTTGCGAAAGTGTGACCAGACTAAAATACCTAATTTTTTACGTCTGGCATCTCTACTGAAATCAAATCATGAATTGATATGTGTAGCATAAACAGGGATTGTTTTTATATCGCGCTTTAAAGAAATCGCGATTCCCATAGCATAAACATAGTAATAGAGCTCCTCGTGAATATAAAATAGGTGATTATGTGGCTATTCGTAATGTCGATACTACAGCAGATGTAAACAAGAAGTTTGCCCCAAAATATCGTGGGCCATATATGAAAGCCGTGTTTTTGATAATGATTGATATGAAGTTGTTGATATTGATGATTGTCAATTAACTCAATTGCCATTTAAAAGCATGTTGGATCTGTAGTCATGTTGGCCGAATGTAAATAGTGAAAATATCTTATTTTAATAGACGTAACGTAAATATCGATAACAAGCGTTGAATAATTCGATGAAGCACGAGAGGGAAAGTGCGATCACTAAGAAGAGGACGAGGATATTGACAAGACACGAGAACCGGGAATAAGTTAACATAAAGTGAAATTAAAAGCTTTACATATCGGGTGCGGAGTTGAAAGGCCGTAAAAGCTGTAATAACTCGGCTATGAGATACAAGGACATAATAAAGAGTTCGAAATCTGAGTTTAAAGCTATCCAAGACCGAAACAGCGTGTTAGCTGTGAAGGCCATTATGGACCGTCTGGAATCAGCAAAACTGGAGGGGCTGAACCAGGGGGAATCGGGGCTGAGTGAAATCTCGCCTGGGGAGCCAACATTTTCGAGCCCGGGAGATGACGCTTGTGTTGGTAGTGAAAACAAACATGAGCAAGAAAGGGACGACCATAGTATACCGGCAAAAGGCGACAAAGTAGTGGCGTCTGAAGAATATCTGGAAGTTTCTGGCGTGGCGGCTGCGGTCGTGCAGCGGCGTGATCAACTGGTGGCGTCTGAAGAATTTTTGGAAGCTTCTGGCATGGCGGCTGCGGACGTGCAGCGGCGTGATCAAGTGGCGGAAAACGATGAGGCAGAAATCCAACATTTGCAACAAATCGAGAAGCTGTATGTTGCGCGTAAATGGGTGGCTGACTTAGAAAATTCGTTGAGCCAAAATGAACCCGCTCGAGGACATGGCATCGACATGAATGATTTGGGTGCGTTAATTACAGTGTATCGGAGAAACAATGATTTATTTTCGCCATACGTTTGCTTAGGAGATCTGCGAGGTCGTTCATGATTGAGACGACAGCCCTAACTTGGCCAGCATTGCGAACCGAATTGATAGCTGTATTCGACCTCAAGGTTAAGGCTTAAAACTGGTTAGAGAAATTATCATCCGATTCATCATGGAAGGCTTGGAAGAAAATTCGGGAGCCGCGTTTGCAATGGCTAACTGTAGTTCTTTGGACGACTTGCGGAAGAAATTATGATCTACGATAAATCAAAGTAGACGCTTGGAAAGATTTCAAAGTTGGAGAAGCAAACTAAACGGAAGTCCAATTTCCAGTCGACCAGAAGGCAGGATTCTGAAGCCTCTCGCTGCTACAACTGTCGGCAAATGGGACATTTTGATAGATTGTAGACAACCCAAAATGCCGGAAGGGGTCTGCTTTAACTGCTACAGCACAAAGCATCAGTAACGCCCCAAGCGGAAGACGAAAACTATGGTGGCAGCCGTGCAGGAGAACGCGGGATCTGGTTCGTAGGAGTTGGCAGCAATTCAAGCAATTGAATTATGACGATTGCGAGGTGAAAAGGGAAAATACATACGCATTGCCAGCACAGTGAAGTGCTTTGATCATTTTTGTTCAACAACGTACTAGATCTTGTTAAAAATAGTCGATGATAATATTCTGCCATTACCTGTGTTATTAGATAGAGACTCGCTAAAGATAATCGAAGTTCAATTAGTTCATAAAAAAACAAGGAAGAACGCTAAAGTCGAGTATCTCGACTATCAGATACCCGTTACTCAGCTAAAGGGACCAAAGGGAAATGGAGATATGCAAGCAGCAAAGCGAGATTAAAATACGCCACCCACCGGCGGTAGACAGATTTAAGCGTTATGGGCGTTAGAGTTGGCGTGGATCAATCTATAGGTATTGACGAGACCAATACATTTCAGTTAAAATTTTTTATCTAGCATGAAAATAGTAAGCGTCACAGGCTTGGGCGGTTTGTGGGTGTTAAATCGATGGCTTCGATGACCTGGCCAATGAAGTCTTCTACTGTTGATGCACCTGAACTCCTGGTAGAGACATCTATGCCTAGGAGCCGCCAAACTTCAAGTAAGCATATTAATTATCATTAACGGTAACACGATGGTAATTTTTAATGATTTCACTTCATTTTTAAATAAGGCAATCGTCGTGCAGATGGTTCAGAAGATGTCAAACGACAACAAGGAGGCGTTGGACATGCTGGAGGTGCAGAACCAGGAGTTCCTTGAGGCTCAACGGGAAATCGACGCCACCTTTGTGCAGAGCATGCGCGATGTTCTTGCGGAGGATCGGGCCGAGACCCAAAGATTCATGCGAGTGTTCTTCAACTCCAATTAAAGCTGAAATGTTTCGAAACAAAACTAAAAGTGCAATTTTCTTTTATATTGAACTGCTTCGCAAAGGAAAGTTAGATACATTGTATTCCTTAATGTGTTCCCTAAGATCAGATGGATCTCATTCAGGAGATTCCAATACTTTGCTGGTTACTTTCATATTCGTTGATTGGCGTAAACTTCTGCTTTCTTATTTCCACGAAGTTATGAAGTACATATCATGTTTATAATCGGTATCTACTCTTTTGGCCAGGCACCTCCAGCGTCCTATCAATCGACCAAAGGCATTCACCACTACAATCTGCCCGAGCTAAGGTAGCAGTTGAACGACTCTTCCTGTTAGGTATCCAGTATATGGTTTTAGAAGCCACGGTAGCAATGGGTATGCAGGATCTCTTAGGATAATGAAGGGAATCTTTTTGTTGCCCATCAGTTTTACAAATTCCGAAATAATTCGGCTATGGTTCTTGAAAATTCCAGATTCTTTAAAGACCGTCGCGTCGTGGACACTTCCTGGCAATTTCATGCTGACGTCTCTAAACCTAAAAATAAATAATATTTGGAAAAAAAACCAATACCTAAATATGGTTTTACTTACAAGTAATTGTTGTCAACTACAGCTTTCATGACCATCGATTCCCATCCCTTGTGATTAACGAAATCTGTTCACGCCAAAAGGGCGTTTAATTTCAGGAGGCAGTGTCGAGCCGCAGTTTTATCCAGATTTCTATATCTCGCGCGCTCGCACTGCCGTCCGCTCTCCCTCTCCATCTCTCCCCTAAGTCACCGCTCTGCTCTGGAGCGCTTAAGTTAAGTTAGGCTTAAGCAGTTCATGTTTCAAAGTGTACTAATAAACACCTACGCACGTCGCGTAAAAACCCAAAAGTACCCGCGTATTTTTATGCGTACCACTCGATCTTGGGGCTTCAATTATTTCATCGATCAAGCCGCACCGCCCCAACATTTTGGTCCTTCGAGCCGGATTTCAAAATCTTTGGACTTTCCTCTCCTGGAGTTTCCTTTGATTTTGTCCCAGCAGGCTTGAAACACTCCAGATAAGTTCCGCTCACTATAATTGCCGGTCATACAGCCAGTTTTTCGAACCCTATTTCGACTAACTTTCTGTATGATATATTGTCTAAATCCAAAAGAGATTAATCCGACGCAACGGCATTTAATATATGTATTTCAATTCCGTTACTTGTGCCCGACAATATTCCAGTTTCCTTTGCCCACAGTTGCACACTTGAAACAATTCCAGTAAATATTTCAGTGCTACTATTCAACGAAAATATTTGTCAAATATATTTTCAATTCCAATCGTGTGTAAAATATAACTCAGCCGCAGTAAAAAATTCCCGGTCATAAAATTTTCCCTTAAGATTTGCACTCTTTATTTTTTACTGTGTTCCAGCTGCATGTGTATATTTACAAAAACAATCTAATACAGTCCACTCCAACTACTTTTCTCGACCTACAAATACGGCTAAACTATTTCTAAAATTAAAAACAAAGTGACAATATCCACAAATTTACTCCAGCAAATCGTTTGCAATTTAGTTGTGCAGGTGACAAACAAACGCACCGACATACAAACATAAGCGAAGTCTTTCCCATTCCCGCAACGTTATTCTGCTATTCGCACCCCACATATATACATACGTACAGTGTACATACATACGTATACCGTATATCACCAGTGCACAGTGGGTCAAGAGCTCACAAAAAGTGTTCCTTTCAAACAAACAATATTAAAGTCCGTAATTCCTTACATATGTCCGACCATTCGATATAATAAATATTTATTGCCTATCCGACAGTGTGACCGTATATATTTACAATCTTAATTGGTTCCTAAATTCCAATTTGATTCCAATCCGTTTCCTTACATCTGAAGTAAAATTCTAAATTATTTAACGTCATGGCAACATCAGTAAAATCCGCTTTAACCCGATTTATGGTGACAGCTGACTGTCTGATCCACTTTGAGGCCACTGTGAACGCTCCAGGTGCTCCTACACCAACGTTATCCGCCTATAAAATCCGTCGCGATCACCTCAATTCCTTGTGGCAATCGGTAAAGGCAGCATACGACATATGCTCCGACTGCATTATAGCTGCAGGCGAGAGCGCCGCAGACACAAAATCCATACTAAAGTCCAAGTATTACCAAACGTACTCCACTTACGAAATATTTGCCGCGCAGCTGATGGAACAAATCCAAAAGGGCTCCTCCCAAATACCTCAAGCTCCAGTAACTCCGTCCCAAAATTCCACGTCTTATGGCTGTCGGCTCCCTCCTATCGACACAGAGGTTTTCTCTGGCGATTATCTTCGCTGGCCGACTTTCCGGGACCTTTTCACGGCAATATACATAGACAATCCGAGTCTAACGCCCGTTGAAAAATTATTCCATTTAAACTCAAAAACAAGTGGCGAAGCTCACTCCATAGTTTCGAGATCCCCACTCACCAATGATGGCTTTTGCTCAGCCTGGAATAACCTTACTGAGCGTTTTGA